GGCTCAAACTAGCCTGCCGGTACATGTTTCATCAATATACAACCAGATATTACAAAAACGTATAAAACCAGATATTCCATAACCCGTATATAACCAGATATCCCGTAACCCGTATAGAACCAGATATCCCATAACCCGTGTATAACCAGACATCCCATAACCCATATGTAACCAGATACCCATAACCCGTACATAACAAGATACCTCATAATCCGTATATAACAAGATATTCCATAACTCGTATAGAACCAGATATCCCATAACCCGTATATAACCATATATCCCGTAACTCGTATATAACCATATATCCCATAACCCGTATATATAAGCAGATATGAGATAAACAGATTTCATTGTATTTCACGGCAAATGTTTACAGCAAGTATTGCAGTTTTTAAAACTCTCTCCTTGCAAATGTAATACAAAGGATAAAAGATAATACATGAAATAAATATGTGTTTGTACAATAGTATGGAAGTGAGGAAAACCTGTCATATAGAAGGTAGCAGAATCACATTTTTAATTTTTGTGGGATGATATATAAAAATATAAAGCTAGATATTTAAAGCCATTATGTAATTTTTCCAACTTACTGAAATATAATGACAAATTAAGATTTACAGAACACTTCGTCTATATTTGTGTAAAGCCTGAATGGAAAATTGAACAAAACCGTCAAATAATTGAACTATGGACCTCTAAATTGTAGACAGACGTTATTTGATAGAATGATATCTCTTTTAAAATCCTGTAGTCTGATCGGTTGAGACAAATTATTCATTTCACACTAACAGTCACTTTAACATTGAGTCAATGACAGGGTGCGTTCAAACGCCATAGCAACGAGTGACAGTGTGTAACATAGCAAAATAGTGACCGCGATAAATAGTGAAAATAATGGGCGTACGGTTCGTTTCAGCCGCCATCCGTTTGCATTACGAATCATTGCACATGTACAATTATGAAGGTACGAAGAAACATAATTTGTTACAAATTTAAAAACTTTGTTTATTATTGACTTTCGGTAAAATAAAATGAATACTACATTACATAAATAGTGACGATAGGGTGAAAGTGATACCCTCATGATGACATTAGGAACGTTCACACTCTGATGAATGTAGTATTTATATACAAGTTTAATGATGTATGTTCCAATCCACAAATATGGTCATTGGCCAAGTCCCCAATTAAGAGGTTTTTTAATGTAGCGCAAAAGGACTATTTTATCACTGACATATTCCCCACATTTCATCACACAGTGAAGTACTGGGATACTACTTGAATCGTTCTTCTAGCGATAGAAAAACAAATATCAAATTAAGCATCAATTTCCTTATGAATTGTACATGTACATGTATACGTTCGACGCTACGTCCCATTCTGTTTTCAATCTTGTTTTGTTTTGGTATAACAGGCTTCAGAATTTGATTGGGATGAGGCGACGCAGGGATTCATATTGAGCTCGTTTTTCTACGGGTATGTCGTCACTCAGATACCCGGCGGTTGGCTAGCAGGACGATTTGGCGGAAAACAACTTTTCGGACTGAGTGTCTTGATACCAGGGATTCTGACCATTATCACACCCCTGGTTACAAAACTAGGACCAGCTGCGCTCATAGTTACACGGGTTTTAGAGGGATTAGCTGGCGTAAGTATTACTTGAGAGAGGATAGGGTTAAGTGTCCTATCAACAGCTAAGGTGAATTGAGGACGTTTTGGTTAAGGTAAACAAAATATCACAGCGCAAGCTTTTGAGTACTGAATCAACTGAAACATGAAAACAACATAAATAGGTGGAGAAGGGGTACCGCTACCAAGAAAATGAAAAATCACGATCGGAAAGTCAATCGTACAGCTAAGTAACAAGCTGTCCCCGTTGAGCATTTTGTTCATAAATATTGATGAATGCAACTGAAGAATACATTGTATATAGTGTCCTTAATTCCAAGCCCTGGAGGATATATTACGATCGATGGTGCTCTATTTTTTTTTTGATATTCAAAGACAGCACATCGTCAATATATCTGAATGTGAAATTGAACCGCTTTGCTTGTTTTTTGTTACCATTCCTGATAAGCGTATCGGTAAATTCACCTTCATGTGAAAACAAAACCAAATCGGCAAAAAGATGGTCACAGTTTGTTCCCTAAGAAATACATAATCTGCTAGGAAACTTGACATCGAACTCACCAAAGATGTTGTCAATCATGAATTAATTCATTAACGAAATATCATTCTCGGTATATATCGTTTTGGTCCTTGTGTACTTTTCACAAAACTTGCTCCAAATGTGTACTTTTCACAAAACATGCTCCAAAAATAATTTACAACCTCCTATTTATATGAAGGCTCGCCTTTTCTTGCTTTCGTAACAAGAAAACGAATGCATTCCTTGTTTGGTATTAGGAAAGGTAGTGTAAATGGTCGAAAAATCTAAGGATTTGGTAGACGCAACAATTTTCAAAAGAGGATGATCAAGATTCATCGAAAAATCTTTTGATTTCTTCAACATTCTATTTATTTCACTTCTAAAGTGTCATAATACGACTCTAGTTATATAGTACTGAGAATGGTACAGGCAAATGAGAGGTTTAGCTTATTGCTTGGTAGAGCAATTAGAAGAGCCTACGATAAAACGCTATTCATATGGATTATTTTGGAAGTTTTGACATCCAATACAAACGAGGCAGGTCTGTATCTTTTCAATCAGTCTGGGCTTTTAATATTTCATACATTTTATGTTCTAGGCGGGCTGGCGTGCGTTTGGTATTTATTTTGGCAGTTTTTAGTACACAACACTCCCGTGCAGCATCCCACAATATGCAAAGCGGAGCGGGATTATATTCAAAGTACAACCGGAGCTATGACAGCAGTGAAGATGTCAAGTAAAGTACGACATCAAGGTTACTAACACTGTCAAAGACATTTTAGTATCAGCCTATATTGAAAAGAAGTTTAATACTTATGCTTCTATTTATTTATTTTTCTTAAAAAATAACTACATAAGAATCCCATTCAAATTCAGACTCGTAGTAATGGTTAAATGATGGAACAGCCTAATACCATGTGCATTTTCCTGTAACTATTAAATAAACTCAAATATAGACCGTGGGGAAAAAACATAGCGAAAAAAAATAAGGTCATACAAAATGTAAAATTTTATGTAACATATAAAAAAAAAATCAATCAAAAATATTAAAACAAATAGGTTAAAGTTACTACGTCACGGTTTAAAATGTATTAAAACTTGGACGTTAAACAGATAGGCCGACCTAAGAAGTGACCTTTTCACATGTAGCAGTACTGTACATATAAAACTACTCCTATCACAGACAATGGTATGATGAAAGGATTTAAATATGTTAATGGGACATTGTTATCAATAAAATGGTGTAGACTTTAATTGAAATTGCAGTTAAGTCGCCTCATCGTTTCGCACGAGAGGGAATGTATCCTTTTAGCGCGAATGGTAGTACCGCGGACTGTGTAGCCCAGGGTCGGATGTCCGATGCAAGGTTGAATACTATTCTATTTCATATTTCATTTATATTGCATTCTCATAAAAATCACTTATAATTTTTTGTTTATATCGTTTATTCCCAAGGTCTGCAATTCCCAAACAATAAATTTGAAGATCTGCCATGTTTGTGTATCTCGGGTAAGCCTTTTTGTCCTAGTACAGGAGGATACTTGTATGTCATTTAGCTCATTTGCTGTTTCGATAAAATTATATGTTTTTGTTATTCCGGTAGGATTACATTGTACCATGGCGAGCTATACTGACGTCATCAGCCGTGTGGGCAGTAGCCGTTCTTAACTTTACGACTTCATGGGGGTATTTTGTCACGCTGACGTCACTTCCTACATATATGAACAAAATACAAAAATACGATATCGCACAGGTAAGTTAAAACCTTTGATCACTAGGTGCAATACTAATGAATTATCATTATTGTTGACCTTCTACAAAGGTCCTTTAACCACCTTTTTAGATCTATAAGATAAATATAGGAAGTTGCTATCGGAAAAGTAGGATTGTTTTCATCAATGATATTAAATATCGTTCGTATTTTGTAAGTTACATAGGTAACTAATGTTTGTTAGTTGTGATCAATAATTAATCACAATGACCAACGTTCATGGTCATCCTGGTAAACCAGTGTCCATATCATAGAACTATGTCGACTAAATATACCAGATAATAAATATCATACTCCCAATATAGGACAGTAACATCAAAAACTCTTGGAACAGTATTTAAATATAATATACTATAAACATTATTTATTTTAAATAGATTTAAATGATAGTGCTTAAATCAAGTCAATGCTATATACAGCAAAAATGTATCAAAATGGTTTAAAAGCTAAACAAAATTATCTTTTATGCCGATACACCTGCTTTGTATCACACGTGTTGAATGAAGTTTAATTCTAATCTACACCGTTTCTCTCGGACATATTCTTCATATCTTACAATGTAAAACACCTGTTACAATGTAAGTATCACCTCTCGCAATTAAATATTACATATCTTTACCTTAACAGTAAAATCTGTAACAAAAATGGATACCTTCTAAATGACTTCACTCTTACTCAAAGTGAATATATTTACCTCCAGAAATTTGCAAAAAAAAATATCTAATGTAAATATCTTATCTCACAAACATAGAAAAACGATCTAAACATCAAAGTTATATCAAAAATCTTCTCTCGCTATCAAAGTGGATAGTGCTTTATTTTTGCAGTCAGATATATTTCAATTGTTTTTACCTTTCAAATATTTTTTTCTCTAAATGAAAGCGGAGATATGTTTACATCATATATATGGTTTTTTTAAATGTATTCATATTCCTTATAGTCATATTGGAAATCAAACGTATATCTGTAATCATTATACTCATATTTCAACACATCCAACGTAAAGTTGATAAAGTAAAGAAATAAACATTCTGACACTTTTTCTAATGACATCAATATTGTTTTCGTTATAATTAAATGGTACAGGATGGCCTATTGGTTGCACTTCCTGATCTCGTCAACCTAATATTAGGACTCATCACAAGCTGGATATCAGACTACCTACGTCAAAAAGGGTACCTGTCGACAGTAGCCGTCCGAAAACTCACAACTTTAATTGGTAAATTTTAATGTTTGATACATAGATTAAGCTATTTTGCATTGATCGGATTCTTACTTAGTAACTGTACAGTTCACGTTTTGGTCCATAGGGATTTTTTATTAATTCACTTGTAATTCGATAAAGAGGATACACATCTTTGATATTTTAGTTATGAAACTCGAATAATTAAAAGCAATCTTAAATAAGATTTCGAAATAAAAATAAATAAACATATGTATGAATAGAAAAAAAAAAAAAAACAAGATTTTTTCTTTGTGATGACGTAGCGCAAAATGTACACTCATACAATTAACAAATCATAATGCTAGTAGGTCATTTTCCAATTTCACATAGTCCTCATTTTGATAGCAGACTAAGGTTCTTTGTAATGAGTGTACCGTTTACTAAACATGACGTTTTAATGCCAAGTGAAATTGTTCTGGTTAGCCTGTATTCTTGAAACCATTCTCATGTTCAAGCCTAATTACTTTCGGTTATATACTTTTTTTTTTTAAATATCATTTTGTCAACGTTTCGGAAAAGAAATTGAGAGACACGACGCTAAATACTGTTTTCAGCATTTACAATTGACTTTCTGATCGTTGACATGATTAAGGTGAGTTACAAAAAAGCTGGCTTGAGCACATAATCCATGCTTGAGCATGAGAACGTTTTCATGAATAGGGGCCCTGAAATTAACTGAATGAATTAACTCTGACACAGAAGCTTAAACTTGACCGGGATGAGTGAACTTGGCAATGCTTTTTAAACTTTAATCCGAGTTTTAATTCGGACTGTAATGAGTCAGGTCTGATGGGAAAGGGTGAACTAGATCGGGGAGATGTAAACTCAGACCTGTATTATTGAAATACCCTGACAAAACAAGTAAGTTGACATTGCGATTGATAATTATGTTCCAGGACTGTCGGCGGCCGCCACAGTGCTTCCGTTCATCACTCTTGCCGGATGTAACAGCGTGGTAGTCGTGGTACTTATTGTGGCCGGGAACGGAATGCTGGGAGTTTCCGTGACAGGCCTTAGCTCAAACATATACGACATAGGCCATAACTATGCAGGTAATTTAGGATAGATATGTAGCACAGTTTACAAGATAATGCCGGTTTTTGTATATATCTTCAGGATCTTAGTTTTGTTAAAGAGACTTAAGAGATTGTTTTTCAAAAATATTGCCATTTTGTAGTTTGTATTGTGGTATTCGTATTATTTTTAAAAAATCACCTTACATATAATGGATTGGGATACAAATGTTTTGTTTCATATCACTTTGCTTTATCAATAAAGTTTCAAGCCAATGTATTGTACACATTTTCAATGTATATCTCTTTAACGATATCTTATAGTAATCATGGCTAAATATGTATTTCCCCACTTTAAGTTGTATCATATAACAGATCATCCAACTAGTCTATGTAATGATGATCCCAAAGTAGATTATATTTATCACATAACTGAACTATTTTACTGTGTCATACGGGCATGCCATAAATATGGAATTACAAACCTTTAATAAAACCTAAAGATGCTGCGGTTGGTCAAAACCTCGGAAACTTAATCCAACGCCTCTACAGGACTACCTTTGTTTTCTTACCACATGATTCCATTACTATTATTTTGTCATTATTAGTTTCGTTGCATGTAAAACTTTTCATTATTTAAAACAAATCTGGAACTACTTTGTACTGTGAGGAACGACAATACTATGCAGAGTAATTTGGTTTTGACTTTAAAAAAGTCAGCTGACACATAAATGTGTTTGAAGTTAATTTTTCAACTTATGAATGCTATGTGATAAACATACTCTCTAATGTGTGTACATGTCATATTGTATTCATTAAGCTGGCTCAATAAATTAATATATCTCGAGCCTTCAAATTATTGAACTCGTTTTATAAATTCAATATAACATGGCAACGTACTCGTACAACAATTATGAAACACGTTATATAAACTTATCTTAACCATCTTCTCTTGTTGGTTTGGATGTTAGCGCACATGCCTCGGTTACTCGAAGGTTGCTATGAGATAGCCAGTGGCTAGGAAAATGTTTAAGATATGAACACACAAACAATAAGAACATCTAATAGATTGGATGAAACAAGTAAGATTAGTGTGCTTTTTAACAGTATTTTCAACTTTTCAAAAACCGCTGATTCTAGGTAACCAACTTTGACCAAACAAGGCCTGAACTTCTTGGGTTTAAATGTGGAGGAAAACCATAGTACCAGGCCAAAACACCTATGTGGTTTGGCAGTTGACCCAATACCTTTTTACCTCTGATTTGGGAATCGAATACCGATTGTCTTGGTGAAAGGCGAGTGCGTTATCCACTGCGCCAACCGGCTGACCGTTTTTGACGATTACTTGTGACGGCTATCAACGTTCTTAGACAGTTGTTTTTCCATTAAAGAATATTCAAGGCTATTTGCAAATCTGTTCCTAAAAAACATATCTAACATATAATGCAATGGTTTTTTACAAGGAATATTTTCGGTAAGGCCCCTTTAAAACACCATACATTTTACTAGTTTGGTCATCCCGATTGTAATATTTGAAAGAAATGACTTACTTTGAAATTATTTGCAATATGATTTTAGATTCAATGTCATACAAATATTACAGTTATTGGAGTTCATTGTATTATTTCTATCAGATCATTGTTTCTGCGATACTGCTGTTTCGATGGGTTATTATATGTCAGATTTATCCAGATATTACAATTATGTTTTCTAATCTGCTCAAGATATTTCGTGCAATGTATTTACAAAGCAACAACAAATTCACTACACAAGTTCTAATTCAAGAGCTGAAATTACGTTCGTCCTTTCAATTAGAAGAACACAGAGGAAAACATCCCAATTCTGCAGGTTTTTTTTCCATTAGTCGAAATTTACAATCGCATTCTGTAGGTCAATCAAGTCTTCCCCCACAATCTCTAGAGCAATATACTGGAGGCGTGGTAGTCTAGTGGTAGGACGCCGGGCTCGTGACCGAAGGGTTGCGGCTCGAGTCATGTCACGTCACAGCACTGTGTTGAATCTTTGGACAAGATACTTCACTCCGCTTGTTCCAGCCTATGCAGCTATAAATGAGTACGTGGTTGGGCAGTGCTAGAATTGTTGAATGCTAGCGGTAAGCGCCGAAATGGCAGTTACGGCTGAATGCTCCCCAGGGAATTGAGAATGATATTCGCTGGTTGCAAAGGCCCTATAACCACGGATAATAATTTGTGAACCACTTTGAGACGACCTAAGACCTAGGTTGTGATAAAGCGGTATATAAGAACCTAGAATTATTATTATTTTTTCATGTACAGGAGATATATCAATAATTAAAGCTAAGCCTGCACCAAAACATGTAACAATATTAATCAATTACTTTGAAAATACTGCTATTTGGGGTTTTTTGAGATTATTGCGATGATTTGATAATTTATTGAAAAAATATATAAATTAAATAAAAATAAACCAATCAATGAAAATAGAACAAAAAATAAAAAAAAGTGTTGAAACAGGAAAAACTGCTGTTCTATATATTTAACTTAAAAATCATGGAAAGATATAAAATAATTTTACATATCCATAATTTATGTACGTCTACTATAATATATGCAAAAATGCATGTTTTATATTCACAGGTACACTTTCTGGAATCTCCAATTTCTTCGGGAATATGCCAGGGATAATAGCGCCTTACGCTGTTGGCCTTATCACAAATAATCAGGTTCGTTATGGAGATTATTCACGTTTATAACATTAGTTCACAATGTATGAGTCAAGTTTCATTTTTGACCTCAGACTCACTATAACACGTCATTAAAAGATATAACATAATTTCTGCGTCAAATTTTAAAAAAAGGATCTGGAACACAGATATTACGTTCAGGTAATCAAATATCAATAAATTGTCACATATTCCACTTGCCTTGATCTGTTGAAATTATTCTTATTGGTTGATACATTTCATATCACAAATATAACGACAGTAGTTCTTACTATCTTGGTAATTTGGGTCAATATACTTTATGTTTTAGCTAACATAAAGTATAAACATGATTTTGTTTTTCGAACCTACTATTGATGATTGTTTTTAATTACATATCTACAAATAGCCACTTGACGGGTTTCTTAAACATTGCACATTATTTGTGTTTCAAGTAAAACGTTGTTTTCAGGGTGTGTCGTGAGAACAATTTTCTCATCGCGTGCACGTGGATACAATCGAGAGGTCACCGCAGGTGGACTCGATACTTTAAGCACGTGATAGCGATAAAAAGCAATCGAGCATCAAGACCCTGAACACATTGTGCGATAAGCTGTTTATCATCTATATACTTCTACCTTATATATTTCTCCAAGGTCAGCTGAACACTGTATTTTCAAAATGACTTCTGACCTCCATGATCCTTAATCGCAAGGTCCTCGGTTGTGACAAATGTAAACAAATAGAAAATTTACGCGGAGGAATAACATAAACCTTAACACTATGTAGGACAATATTTCAGATACAATTGTACAGCCATTGGCTTCTCCACACGCACAGTTACGCTTAAAATGGTGTTGTCATCCTCACAATATTTTTTTGTAACTTTATTTTGATTGTTTAAAACGGACTCATTTATTATGTGGATCACTTTTGTGCGGATACTCTTTCGGGTTCAGGACGTCACCTGGCGCCTAAAGGCGGTTTTGTTTTGAGAAAATACCTTTCTAAATGGGAAAATCTATTATCCGAGATGTAAAGGTGAAAATATGTTAAATTAACGAAGTTAAAGCGACGGGCTAGACTATATTGTTTGTAAATTTTCTGATGCAATAACCTCTATCAGGATACATGTACAAACATTAAACAGTTACAAGAAGCACATACAAAACAGTTTATTACATTTTGCCAGTGAAAAATCACTTTTTGATATTGACCAATCATAACGGTATCTTCTATTCGCTGCATTCCGAATTCCGTTGAGTATCCCTTTCAAATTGGCGCGCAGCCTTGTTGTCAAGTGTGACGTCATTAGGATATGGCGCTAATTATTACGCTCCTGATTCCCGTCCTTTTATAATGCATTACATATTTCATGTTTTATGCTTTAAAAATGTAATAAATAGAAAATGTAATGGTGTTTTCAGTAATAACAAATATATTTCACTCGTGTGGCTAATATCTTGATAGTTTTCACTCGTGCTGCGCTGCGCACTCGTGTAAAATATCAAAATATTAGCCACAATCGTGAAATATATTTGTTATTACTGACACCACCATCAAATATCCTCTATATAGTTTTTTTATCCTTTAATACCAAAATATTAGTGTTTTATTATAATAATAATAATGCACATACACATTTTAAATAAATATTTTTGTTTTGCTGTTATTGACAGGAAACCATGGCGAGATGGGAGATAGTTTTCTACATATCCATGGCTCTGTATTTATTTGGACTTGTCACGTTTCTCATATTTGGCAAAGGATCAGAACAGCCTTGGAACAGGGTTCCCAAAGAAACGACACACTATACCGAAACTAAGGAGCAATAACTATAACTTAACTGTTGTAAATCTACATTAGGTCTGTACTGATTTTGTCAAGGAAACTTCCATTGCCACTTTAATTTACGAAGATAAGGATTAATTATCGCAGATAGGAGACAAAACGTCCAACCTGATGTGGTTTCGTCAATTGGACGTCTCGTCTCCTATCTGCGTGTAATTTATGTGTTGTTATGATTTTTGTTTTTGTTAATAAATGACGCTTGTAAGAACAAGTTTGTACATTATATTTGCCATTGTCAATGTATGCATATTACAAAGAACGTGATTTTTTCTTTCTTTATCATTTATTTCCTAGCAATGGAATCTGGCAGATTTGAGTCCCTTGTGTCAGCCTATGTACAATATGTATCTTTATATCGGAGGATGTTCGTTCGTCATTCAAATATACTGTTACATACTCATTCATTCAAATCAAAATCTTACATACCAATGACTATGTACCATTCATACTATATACAAAAAATGTAATAAGAAGATCATTCAATAAATGCTGTCACCACACAGCTTCCGTACGAACGTGCAATACAATAGAATAGCGCATTTACAGACTGCAGAAGCATTTAAAGAATGATGAACGTGCAAAAAAGTTTTTAGATAAAATATTGATAAAATATGTTAGTTGTGACTCAAGAAAGCTACCCGGTAAGAGACCTGTGTCTATTACTTGGAACCCCAGAGATGCATTAACAACAGATAATGGTTGTCGAAATATATATAAAAAAAACAGTGATTGACAAGAAGTAAAAAGGCGCAAATTTTTTTGTATGCCTTTTTTGTCAGCTCTAGGGGGCCTTTGGTTCAGATATCGTGCAAAACAGTAAACTATCAAATGTTTTACAGAGACAGAGAACTGAAATCTGTTCAAAGATTCTACATGTAAAAGTGTTCCATTAAAAGGTTGAATGGTATCCAGCTACTTCACAACAGTACTGTACCCCACAAAAGCAATATTTTACATGTGTATTTAAAGCAAGGTACGAAGGTACAGATTGACCACCCACCCTATTCACCAGATCTAAGTTTCTGTGACTTTTTCCCTGTTTCCTCTAAAAAAGACAATGATCTATGGGAAAAGATATGACCCTAGGAGTACTTTGGGTAGTGCAATATTCTAGTTTCTCGCTAGTATACCAAGGGGAGACTACTTCGTAGCGTTTATGTCATGGATAGCGCAGATGCGAAAGTGTGTCTCTGTTAAGGGGGGTACTCCGAAGGATTGTAACGGAAAGATCAATCTAAATACACCATACATGTGATTCCTGACATTAGTTACCTAATTTATTGAATGACCATCGAATATGTTCAATTACTTACGATTATCCTGTAAATACAGCTATCATGAAGAGTGTAACTTATTAATAATAATAATAATATACAACATTCGAATCTAGCTAGCATAAGCCACTCTAAAACGCTTGACAGTACATAGATATACAATTAATACGATTAGGATATATAATTCGAAGGAGCTGTCTTATCAGGCGCTAACTACCAGTCATGTGCCACCTGGCTAATATCTCCCTGTGTGTGTATGTCTGCGTGTGTGCTGGAGATGTATTGTTTTCTGTTTGTAGTCGGACAGTGCTTCCAACGGCATCTTTTATAGTGCCACCTTACTTGAATGCTACATCACAGATACCGCAAAATTCACCCCAGACCATTTTATACTCCACCTGGGTTGTTGGAGTTGTTTCGGCAGGAGAAAAACACTTTCTCTAATATTCCATTCGGAGGTGAAAAGGTATTGGGTTGTTGGAGTTGTGTATTTAATATTTAGCATTACATTCATATATCCTTTATAAGTAATACTGTTAATGTCTCTATTTCAGCAGTATTCTAATTTTAACAAAATTGTGGTTGCACCGATTGACGTTTCTACATATATTTTCCTATTGCATATATTGTGAAGGGGCCTACTTGTTAAAGAAACTGCTGAAATAAGTTCTTTTACAGTAAATATATTTAAGAAAAAACATGTTTTCGACATAGAATATCAAGCCACACATTATAGAATGAACATATATGCATTATAGAATACAAATCACACGTTGTTAAATACATTTTTTATTTCAAAGAATACAAATAAATAAAAAATAAATTTTGTATATAATAAAGTACCAAAGTATATGTTAAAGAGTACACTCACATGTATGTTCATTATATAATAAAAAGATAAACAAACCTATGCTTCAAAATTGTCGGATACAAAGCATGCTATGTGAAAACAAACAAGCATTTCCATATTATTGACTAACATATGTGTTTCAGAATAAAAACATCTATAAGGTATATAATACAAAACCTATACGTTATAAAAGGAAAAAACGCTTGTTCTGACATTATTGAATACAAAACGTATTTATCATAAAATTTCTAATTTCCTCCGCATTTCCTTTGGTTGATCCATTAGAGGTGCCCAGTTATCATGTTTGTTTTTACCCTAAAATAAGTCCCAGCTTCAGGTCAAAGCGACACCAGCTTCATGTCACAAGGACAAAGTATACAACAACTAAACCACATCAGTTCAAAATGCCAGACAGCGTCAAAACAAACGAGCAAATAAATAGCAGAGAGTCAAGACTAAAGAGTATTATGACTCAAAGTCTGCGAAATAACGTAACAGTAGAAAGCATCATAAGAAGACAGCCTCAACGTACAAGCAAGTAAATCACCAACTATATATACCACAAGATAACGCTGTCAGTCATGATACAATGGCAACCCATAGGTCATATAAGGTTATGAGTACAATCGCACACCATTTAAATAAAATCATCTCCGGAAGTGGATCGGGCAAATAAACAGTAATCGTAGTCATGAATCAATTGGCTATTTCATTGTATCATTTGAAAGTCGATGTATTATGTGTATTAATGTAGCTGTTGTTTCTATGTCAGTACCCTGCAATACTTGGATTTGAATTTATTCACAATGACGGGTGTTGTATGGAACATTTGGTCTTTTTCTCCTTGCACTTTTTTTTGCAAAAGGCTCTTTAATTATTTCCCCTTTGTTCATATGTGACCTTAGTTTTATGATTTTAAATTCGAACTTCGATTATGTTGACATTTCGGTATACTCTTTGACTGTCCTCAAAATGAGTAGATCAAATAATGTTACAAACTGAAGATAACTTCTTTATCACTTTATTACATCCGCAATCTGGGACACATAATTTGCCGAGAACAATTCAAACGAAACGCAAAAATACATGTGTACACCTTACTTACACATAACTGATTGATATGGTACGGGATGCTATATTTGATATCAATTTATGATGTCTGGCCTTGTTATCTTTGCTAGTCCAGGTAGATAACAATGTTTATACGTATACGTGTCACAACGTTTTAAAGCTACATAGTCGGTGAAACTATATAAAATGTTTATCTTGTTCCATGTCTTTAAACTAGAAATACTGTACATAATGTAAAACCAGCCTATTCTTATTGAATTAGTATCCAATTGGGTTTACTTGATTCTTCACAACACTAGTAACATTGGTATAAAGATGCTGCAAAATGGAAATTGGTAATTCACAATATTGAGCAGATGTCCTTAAACATAATATTTTAAGATAAGTGAATAAAATAAGATTGTGTGCGTATATATAGTATGATATATAGTAGGTATGTAAGGACGAGAAATCATTGAACTTGCAGGATGAGAGACATAACGGTATTGTGTTAGTATACTGACAACAGAAATGCAGGCATGCCTTCTATAGATAGAACTAATGAGACAAGTAAATTATTAAAGACAGGTACACAATACAGGAGACGTGATGTCCAGCCACATAAAGGTAAGTATTAACTACCGTATAAATATACCTATAGGATGCACTGTATTACGTCATATCTGTGACTCGTAACAATAGTTAGACAGGTATGTTCAATGTTACTATACTGCAAGCAAAACAGTTTGTTGGTTTAACAGAACATTCGGTAATGATGTTACTTTAATGTTAACGATAACATATATATTGCGTAAAGCAACTTTCGGTAGTGATGTTACTTTAATGTTAACGATAACACATAGATGGCGTAACACAACGTTCGGTAGTGATGCTTCAATACTGTTAACGATAACAGATAGATGACGTAACACAACGTTCGGTATTGATGCTTCTATACTGTTAACGATAGCAGATATATGGCGTAAAACAACGTTCGCTAGCAATGTTACTTTAATGTTAACGATAACAGATAGATGACGTAACACAATGTTCGGTACTGATGTTTTTTTCATGTTTTTTTCAAGACAAGACAAACATATATGACATTGCTCATAAGTACATGATTGTTCATACATATTAAACAAAGGTGTCTATAAAGTATATCGTCATCATCCTTGCATAATGCTTAACATCATCATCTTCATCACCATCATCTGATATCATCCTCATCGTCATTATCAGACATCATCATCATATAAGAAATTATTCTTAACATTATCATCATTATCATCTGACATCATATGACATCATCAACATCATCATCATCATTTGTCATCATCTTCACAATCACCAGCATCCTTATATAAGTCTTAACATCATCCTCTCATCCTCATCCATATCATCAGACACCATCATATAAGATATTATTCCTAACATTATCATCATAATCATCTGACATCATATGACATCCTATGACATCATCAACATCATCATCATCAGCAGCAGCAGCAGCAGCAGCAGCATCATCATCATCATCATCATCCTCATCATCATCATCATCATCATCATCATCATCATCATCATCCCCATGCATCATTATATAAGATAGTATTCTTAATATTCTCATCTGACATCATGTTATCATCATCACCATTATCATCATCAGCCATCATTATCCTATGTCATCATTTTCATCCGATATTAACATATGTACATACATAAAGACATATACACTGAAACATTGATGCAACATCAAAAGGGGTTCTTGACAAATGTCTGACTCACTTAAAACGCTATCAGTTTCACGCGTCTCGCATCCATGGTTCCTCAGTTTCTGTCGACATGTCAAATATTGACGCTGTTATAGAGTCTACCGACTGTTGT